ATCCAGCATTTTTCTTGCGTGGATGAACAAACTCCAAAGGCATCATTCTGCCAGATCTCAAGAATTGCACCAAACTAACAGTTAAACATTTGAGTTACAACAATTTGCATGGAATTATACCTTTGGACATCTCTCACCTACAAAACCTGTGGTGGCATTTGAACTCTTCAAACAGCCTGACTAAGAAATCTTGCCATCCTTGGGACTGCTACCAAACAACATAGATCACCAGCTTGGAAACAACTCACTAGAAGGTGGTGTACCTCTGAAATCAAAGTCCAATTGGTCATGTTGGACCTAAGTGCGAACCAGCTCATCAATTTTTATATTAGTCACAATTACATTGAAGAAATTATTCTTGGATTGGCTCTTTGGAGAATTGTATAATCCTTAGAGTCCACTTCTCCAAGTGCCGAGGAAGGAGGTTGTTAACACTCTAGGGACTTTGCCTAGAAGATTTAGAGTAGTGTATAAATGAGTTGGCAACCAAGTGCCATTTGTTGATACAATATCTGCTACTGTTCAAGATGGAATTAACTGGTCTTATCATCTTGCCTTTTATACAACAATATCACTCATAAGCACTTTTTTAGGAGTTTCACTCTTGCTCTTGTTTTTAAGTTAGAATTTTTAGTCCAAATGTGTTATACTCCTAAGACTTTTGCTTTGGCTATTGCCACATAACACACTTTTGACTCCATTTTAGGGCTTAAAGATTTGTGTTTTACACTTCAACTATATGCTTAACTAATTGCATGGAGCCTTACTTCAACACCACTTATTATTTGCTGTCATCTAGCCAAACCAAATAACAGCCTCTATAGAAGAGGAAGTCCATATATATGTGGATAAGCTCCATCTCCTATATCTCTCATGAATCAGATTGTATTACAAGCTGAGTGGGAAGGCTTTAGCTTTGGCACACCAACTCTTGCTTTGAAGGTGAAATTACTTGGAGGAGCATTTGTATGATTGCTATGAGATCACCAAAATCCTAGTGCT